TATGTATGTATGTATGTATGTATGTATGTATGTATGTATGTATGTATTTTTCCCTAAAGGGGTGTCTTTCGGTCGCTTGTGTTTCAGTGGCCCCTTGGCCAGTCGTCTAGGCACTCTGCCCTCAGAGAAAGCCTCAGAGGTAAAATGGACAGCTCTGTGGTTGCCACGATGGTGCGCCGGCGATGGTCGGCTCAGCTCTATTTGTCAGAGAAGAGCCGTTATCCTGGTGTCCCAGTCAGTGGGCGCTTCCTGACCATCTCCTGGATGCGCGAGGAGCCTCGCGTAGCAGCACCCTTGCACTCCTTCTTGAGGGACGTTGTGATGATCACTTTGGATTCTCGGTCAAGATGAGCTTGAGTGCCACTGGAACTACAGTGAAGCCGACTGCCCTTCTGCCACAGCCGGTGACTAGGATGTCCATCGTGCTCACACATTGGAACCCGCTCCTGTGGGGAATCCATCGGCGCCGGCCCTCCATCCAGGCTTTGGTGCACCTACGGATGAGCTGTTTTTTGAATTTTTGTGTTGCTTGGTTTGCCTTCCTTGGCGCGTAGGTGCTTTCTCATGGTTGTATACGGGTGAGCAAAGATGGCGGCCAAGCGTGCTGTGGCGCGCTGGTAGGTCTCAGTGCGGTCATCATCCAAGGTCTTTTTGCCACACCTCTTTGTTGCGATCGTACAGGGTGTTGGCTGCCAGATCCAGGAAACCTCTTATTTTGCGCTCAATGGTCCAGGCTTCCAGACGGGCTGGGTGGTGTGTTGTGCGAGAGTGCCAAGACCATGCTCTGGACTGCTCTCCCGGCAGGGCGCCGGCGATAGCGCCCAACCACTGGAGTTGTCCAAGTTGGAGTGTGTGGACACAGGGCCCAAAGACCCAGACCTGACTTCTGGTGTCGCATGTAGAGGGTGTGGCATCAAGAGTGAAGGCCCAACCTTGGTAAGCATGTGGGCAACGTCCATGTCTGTGAAGGGGGTGATTCCTGTGCTGGGCCAGAGAGGGCCCCAACCTGCACTCCACAGTGGTTCCTCATCATGGTTGGTAAATCTCTCAGCCCATCCGATTGGCATGGGTTGGTGCCCCTGGCCGTGATGCCATTTGCAGAGCCACACTATGCGCTTGGCGGTGGCTGGCACTTTGCAGATTCGGAGGGCTTGACTTAATAGCTGTGGCATCTCTATAGCGCAGGGCTGCTTGTGTCCAGGGAGATTTTGTGACTGTCCTTCAAAGCTTCTTGAATTGCTGGCGATAGACAGTCGAATCGAGCCCACGGACAACGCTGACCAGGTGCTGGCGATGGGCTTTGCTGGCTAGGCGGTCTCTGTTGTCAGGCCCCAGCAAGGAGCTGTCCCTCAAGCTTCCACCATGGAGGATCCTGGAGTGGGTCTCCGGCCTATGCCATTTTTGCAGGTCCTCGGTCTCCCATCCCCATTCACAATGTATGCGTGTATGTATGTATGTATGCATGTATGTATGTATGTATGCATGTACGTATGTATGCATGCATGCATGTATGTGTGTCTGTGTGCCTGTGCGTCTGTGTGTCTGTCTGCGTCTGTCTGCCTGCCTGCCTGCCTGCCTGGCTGGCTGGCTGTATGTATGTACGTACGTATGTATGTGTATGTATTTATGCATGTATGTATGCATGTATGCGTGTATGCATGTCTGTATGTATGCATGTCTGTCTGTATGTATGTATGTCTTCATTGGCATGAGGTCATGGTCCACCATGGGTGCCTCTTCTGAAGCCTCTTTCTTGAGTGCCTCAGGATGGGGTGTCTGGTTGACAGCAGTCATGTACTTGTCCGAGAGCTCTTTGAGTTTCTGTTGGCCCTCATTTTGGATGTCCTGCATGTCTTGGAGCATGGTGGCATACTGGTCTTTCTGATGGACTGGTTCTTCAGCTCCGTAACCTGCAGCTTGACTTGCTGGGCTATGTCTTTCTCGGTCTGTGGCATCGGCGTAGTCAGTCGAGTAACCACATCCTGGACTTCTTTGGGAAGGGCCGTCGTGTGGTTCTTCAGAAGATCTGTCAAGGCAGGCTCTTCTTGCTGCTGTGGGCCTAGTCCCAGGGCTTGCAACTTGGTCTGGATGCCTTCTGGGATAACATCCCATGTTGCCGTGAGGAGTTCAGCTGCTGCTTGATGATCTTTGGGGCGCCGCAGCGGCTTAGGCTTGTGCAAGCCTGGTGGAGTGTCCAGCAAGGCCTCCTGGTAGGTCTTCTTCGGCCAGGTTGTGGGCTGTGCTGTCCCCTTGGATGTTCCTCCATGGCCTTGGCCCTTGCCTTTGCCCGTGGCTTTTGTGGCATTGGGCCACCAGGTTCCGCACCTTCGACATCTCGTACCTGGTTGCAGCTTGTCCTGCCATATCCAGTTCCGGCAGGAACTGTGGCTCTAGACTGTGTAGTTCCTGCACCAGGATGAGGTCTTGGACTGCATCATAGTTCGGAACCTTAGTGCCCGAGCCGGTGGTCAAGAAGGCAAGGTGGGTGGCACGCTCTTCGAACTGGCCTGAGTCAGGTTCTAAGAGGTAGTTCCAGTGACCTTGAGGGTCTCCAGTAAATAGCCAGGCGAGCACTGCCAGGTGCCAAAGGGCCACAGAAATGTCCAAGAGGTAGAGCTGATTACGAGCAAAGAATGTGCTCTAATCGTGGGTCTCCCTGCGCCTGCTTGGTGCTAAAGTTCAGGCTATGCTCGCTTGGGGAAATGAGCACTAGCGGGACTTCACCGGCAGCCCACTTGAGCACTCATGTCTTGAGCCATGTATGTACGTAAGTATGTAAGTATGTAAGTATGCAAGTATGCAAGTATGCAAGTATGTATGTACGTATGTACGTATGTACGTATGTACGTACGTACGTACGTACGTACGTACGTACGTAGGTAGGTAGGTAGGTAGGTAGGTAGGTATGTCTGTCTGGATGGATGGACGGACGGACGGAGGGATGGATGGATGGATGGATGGATGGATGCATGGGTCTGCGATTCAGCAAGGTTATCGCTAGGAAGCCTATTGCTTGTATTCCTATTCCTGAAATCTGAAATTCACGACCGCTCTTTGCTGAATTAGTCATTGCACGGATTGGTGGTCGCTCATACAACTGATATACCCTTAGGTGAGCCCGCTCTGTCTCTCTCTCTCTCTCTCCCCATGTCCCCCTGCGTGTAGAACTCGGCCACTTAGTGTTTATATCGATCAAGTTTATATCGATCAACGTATGCGAACCTGCAGCAGGAACCAGAAAGAGGCTAAGAGGTCCCAGATCCTTGAATCTTCACATATCTTCGAGTACCTCATATAGAAGCTGTCCTCTGGTGCCAAAGGTTCATCTTGTGCAGCTTCAGCTTCCAACTCTGCCACGCGAGAGACAGCAGCTGACAGCTGCGCCTGCAACTGCCTCAGCTTCCACATGCTTCCGCCATCTTCAACCAAATATACTACAGTAATTCTATATGCCTGTGAAGGAACCCTTCACCTAAAACCTCAAGATCATCTAACACTACACGGCTCAAACCGTACAACGTCTCTCCACCTCTAGCCTGCCCAGTGGCAAAATCTCTTGAGGGTCTTTGCTGCCTGCGTTGAACTGTTCCTGGTCGGGTGGGGCAACAAGCAAGATTCCGTACAGGCATCCGTCTGAAATCACATATATATATAGACAGAATACAACAAAAATATAATGCAATACCAACCTGAGATCCAGAACTCTGATCCCAAAATCACCGGCCCTAAAGCGGCAAATGAATGGACAAAGGTGACAAAGGCTAACATTTGAAGTTCGGCCCTTTTGAGGCACCACAACAGCAAGCAACGCCGCTGGCTGAAGATCAAAAGGATACAAGTCTAGAGGTCCAGTGCAACCAATCAAACATGGAACCGGGTTCTCGTGATCACTATACTGTAGACTATACTTGAGAAGTGCTCTGTAGCATATGTTACACTGGAGCAAGCAAGATTGCGCGTGCTGCTCAGGTCGGCAGCAGGCAAAAGTTTCTAAAGTTTTGGACACTGCGGGCGCCATGCTTTTCATGGACGCAGCAGGATTGTGCTGAATGCACTGCGGAAGTTGTTCCACAAGGCAACACAGGAAAGTCTTGGAGCAGGGTGGTTTCAAACGACATACTGCCTTCAACGATGGCCAGCGCCATCATTTACTTGCTGCTGGCGAGGTAGGCCTTCCAACCATCTTGTTCCAATTTCCTCCTCTTTTTCTCAACGGTGCTACACTCATCAGCCATGAAGCGTGCCATCTTCTGCCGCATGCCTGGGTTTGCAGCGCCGAGAACTCGTACAGCCAGCAAACCAGCATTGGCTGCATTGCCAATGGCGACTGTTGCCACAGGAATTCCTTTGGGCATCTGCACTATTGATAATAGCGAATCGTTGCCGGAGAGTGCTGATGACTTCACTGGCACACCAATCACAGGCAAAGGCGTCAACGCTGCCACCATACCTGGCAGGTGAGCAGCCCCGCCTGCCCCAGCAATGATGACATTGATCCCTCGTGCCTCTGCGGTTGTGGCATACTCGTACATGTACTCAGGGGTTCTGTGGGCAGAAACCACGGTGATCTCATATGGGATCCCGAAATCATCAAGTACTACTGCAGCATCCTTCATGGTTGGAAGATCACTATCGCTGCCCATTATGATTCCCACGCTCGGAGAGCTCTTGTGTGGAATTTCAATGCTTGAAGCATCGACTCCATCCACTGCTACAAGCACGGGCCGCATGTTCTCCAGCGCACTGGCCGGCGTGAAACCGGTGACAGTGATATGACCCATTTTTCGGCCCTTCACGCAGCCATCCTTGCCATACCAATGGATGCCAGCATCCGGCACATTCAGGGCGCGGCGCAAGGGGGCCATGGTCTTGGCCACCATCTCTGGCGTGTTCCCTTGTCCAAGAATGTTCACCATCATGGCTCCACCCACCCGTAGTTCACAGTCACCCAAAGGCAAACCTAAAACAGCACGGAGATGTTGTTCAAACTGATCAACGCCGCAGGCTTCCATGGTATAGTGTCCAGTATTGTGCGGTCGCGGGGCGATCTCGTTGAGGAGCACTGACCCGTCCTCCAAGAGAAACATCTCAACACCAAAAATGCCACGAGCATCACCAAAGCTCTTGATGGCGTCAGTGGCGATCTTCTGTGCAAGTTCCTGCTGTTTCTGGGTCACACCGACTGGAGGGGTCAAACAAGTGAAGCAAACACTGTCGCGTTGAACTGTGTGAACCACTGGATAGGTGCGCATTGTCACATTCATGGTCTCATCCACCCCTCGGGCCACCATCACTGCCAGTTCCATTTTGAAGGGTGCCCACTTTTCAACATAAAGCTTCTTGCCAACTTTGCCTCCAAGCTTTTCCCAGGCTGCTGGGATGCCTGCAGCATCTGCCACCACAGCATTCCCCTTGCCATCATACGCCCCGAAGCGGCTCTTTAGCATCATGGGGTATCCAAACTTCTCGCCTATGGTGTGCAGTTCGGCCTCTGCATCTACTTTCACAAAGTCTGGCAAGGGTATGCCATGCTTCTGCAAATGTACTTTTTGGTCATACTTGTCCTGAATGAGCTTGACAACGAAGGGAAGAGGCTGCACAGGGACGCCCTTTTGATGAAGTTCCTCCAGAACCTCGGCGTTGACGTGCTCGACCTCTAACGTCAAAATGTCGCACTTCTTAGCCAACTCTCGGACCTTCTCCGCATCTTGAAAGCTACCCTTCACTGACATCTCTGACACTTGTCCAGCAGGGCTCTGCTCACCCAAAGGGTCTAAAACACACACCCGCACACCCAAGCGGTGTGCAGCATAGACCATCATGCGGCCGAGCTGGCCTCCTCCCAAACAGCCGACGGTACGCTTGTCCATTCTTTCTAGGCCAAATGGCTTCGCAGTGTCCAAAATTGGCCTGTTGTAAGCCAAAGCTTGGGCCACATAAAACAAGCAACCAAGCAATTCAAGCATTGATTCCATCTCTTGCAAATGGCTTACCTTTTTCTAAGTGCCTTCCTCAACATGGTGTGCCTCAAATTCCAACGCCAAATGGCAGGACTCTTCCAGCCTTTCCCAATTCAATGGACAATCTTGAAAGCTGCTCCTGCAAACAGGAGGATGAAAGAAAAACTACCTAAACAAAGAACAGCAAGGGGAAATGAAAAATGAACCAAACAAGGCAAAAATAAAAGCGGGCACACGACACATGTTCTGCGGGATAGCTCCCCCGCATGGGATTCAGTACTGTGGCCGTCTATGCGCCCATCTTGCTTTCCACAAATAGTAGCGTCCTTGTTACTAGTAGTAAGGCCAGGAGCCCCTAGTAGCTTCCTTTTCTCCTAGTAGCGTCCTTGTTCCTAGAGGGTTTCAATTGCAAGATTTGGGTCCACAGCAAAGTCAGTTTGCTGCAATTCATTGTCCTCCAAAGCGCGGTTCTGTGCCTGGCAGTGTTCGTATCAAAGGAACGACTGAGCTGAACTATCCTTCTGGTTGTTGTTGCTTTGTGATCGGCCGCTGTCTCAGAGCCCATCGCCAAAAAAGTCCCCAGTGAGCAACCTTGTTTAGAATTAGGTTACACGTGGTCACACGCCAAACATGGAGCAAAGACTTCCTGCTCGACTCTGAGTACTCTGTACTAGCAGGGATCAATTTACTCGACGTTCAATTCTACGGGGAGCAGTGGCATACGGCAAGCTCAGCTCGTATACAGGGAAACTCTGGTCGTCTTTGGACCGAAAGCCTTTGCAATTCTGCGTCGCAAACTTTGGCTCATCAATTCAACCAAGCCTTCACAAGTTCATGTCACAACAAACGCAGCAAATTACCCTCAAAGCACTTGGCAGCTGGTAGTACTTGTCTTGACTTCTAAATTGTCATCAGGAGGGACTGGAGGCTCGTCAGCGACAAGTCTTGCCAGTGCTTCGAAAGCCACATGGTGGACCAATTCCTCCACCCCTACATTTTGCTTAGCAGAACCTTCAAAGTACACGAGGCCTTCACTTTGTGCAAAGGCTTGGGCCTCCTGATATGTAACTTTCCTGTGAGCATCAAGGTCGGTCTTATTTCCCATCAGCACCATAGTCCGGGTCTTCCCCTCCCAAGCAGCAGCTTGTATCCATTGATGAAGGGACTCAAAAGATTGCCGGTTGGTGATATCGAAGACCAGGATCACAGCATGCAGGCCATGACGAAATCTGGGAACATAGTGAGCGCGGTAGAATAGCTGCTCATCCCAAAAAAGAAGCTTTATGCCTGTGCCATCATCTGACAAAACTCTCTGGATTTCAAAGTCCTTTGGTATGACAGACAACATTGTCGGTCTGGTGCCCTCCTCAAACTCGTTAAAGCAATAGCGCCGCACCAAGCTTGTTTTTCCAACCCTAAGGCCGCGTGGGTCACTGAAGGACATGTAAAAAGCAATGTGCAGTATATAATTACTGTCATGTCAATAAAGCATCTTGAAACAAGGGATTCAATGACTGCGACTAGTCTAAATATACAATTATATACAATTACAATGCGGTTCTAATGCATTCCCCACAGGTTCAACCCTATCTAGTCTTCACAATGTCATTTGCAGGCGTCCTGCAAATTCATTTCAGCATTGAAACCGCAAATTCCACTGTTTCCCACAGCTCTGAGGAGGTTGCTTCCCGGTGCACCCTTACAAGCCCTTCTAAGACCATGATAAACTTTGTGCCGAGAAGCCCAGTCTGCCCACCAAGCGAGATTTGCAAAGTGCGTGCATTCATATTGTCCGTAAACCGCTTCACACGCTCAAGACGGCGCTTCTGGATAAGAAGCTGCAAGTCCTCGGAAGCTGTCTGCAAGGGTGGGTGAGGCGAAGTGAGTGAAATTATACAACCATCTGAAACCCCCCAGAACCTTCAGTGCACCATACTTACTCATCTCCAACGGCCCATCCCAGGAAGACTAGTCATATCCCGCCAGGACTCTGCTCCTGATGTTCCTGCGACAGGGAAGACTTGACTGAGTTCTGCATGATCTGGTAAGACTCGGCCATCATACACCAACTGGCGACGCAATCCGGCATCCTCAGCTCAAAGTCGTAGGTAGATGAGATGACAAGAGGTTGGATGGAGTGAATCCGGGATCACTCACAGTAACGCAAAGCGCATAGAAAAACCAAAGCAGCCACATACCTTTGGATTCCCAGATGCGACCGTCCCAGACAGAATTTCACGCACGTGCGCAGATCCTGGGAGAATCACTTCGTGGTAGATGTCGCCGGAGAAGCTGAACACCCTGATGCTGTACATCGACATGTTTCCAACACCGAAGGCGTTGATGAGTAGACTTGAGTAAACTTTATACAAGGTCGTGTTACTGTAATGTCTACATAATGCCCAAATAGTAGCAGCTCTTGGCTTTCAATCGCCTGGCCTTACCTATCGGCCTATCGATGATCTTATTTAAGCTTTCACTTGGAAGCAGGCCCACAGATTTGACTTGAGAATGCGTTTTATGCAGACCGTGTGTGATCTCTCTGCTACTTTTTGGAGCCAAACACGACCGCGCTCCCTTGGAACACGTTTTCCCGCATGCCAATTTTGGCAGGATGGTTGTGTGACCAAGAAGGTCGGAAAGCAAACGAGAAGTGTAGGAGCCAGTAAGCACATTCAAAGGCTACAGTGTCAGTGGCTCTCCTGCGCATGCAAGAGAAAACCGATTGTCTGGCGTCCGATGGCCCAAAACCGTTTGACTTAGCTTGCGCCGCCTTCAGCTCATCCACTTCAGAATCAACCTGGCCACTTGTTCACTGCAGGTGGTTGGATTGACTCCTGTGCTCCCTTCCTAAGGAAACCTATCGATGCTATAAATAGATATATGAATTACAATTAGCTAAATAACTAAGATATACAGATATATATATATATATATGTGAACACGCATAATGGTGCAAACAACATGTCGGAATAAGTCGGAATCAGATTCACACCCTTCACCGGAAGTTACAAGAGAAAAATTGCTTGAGGCCAGCAGCGGAGAAAGTACAGATTTTGCATCTCGGATCAGCAATGAGAATGATGAAACCTGATGAAATGATCATGTGCGCAAAAATGAGGTGTGTTGGCTGGGGTGAGCTGCAAGCTGAGATGAGGGAAGCGTACGAAAATGACGTACTGAGCTCAGCTCAGAAACATGATACCAAATAAATCCAAATAAGTTGGCATGAAGAGCTAGGTCAGTCGTATGTCTGCCAGACATACCCCGCCTATGGCGCAGGACATGAACTGAGAGTGCAAAAATGCAATGGAAAAAATGATAAAAAATGCGTTGCATTAAGCTCAAGCGGGCTTTAGAGTCACACAGAGGAGATAAGGACAGTAAGTCTTGACAATTCAGGTGAGACCTCGGGCTGAGAGCAACAAGCAACCAGGCCTTGGCAAGTGGCACTGCAGTTTCTGCTTCCGGCTCCTCCGCAGAACTCCAAACGAACATTGGTTTTGTGAACATGGCCTTGCGGCACCCCTCGATTAAAGCTATCTCTATCTCTCTCCCTCTCTCTCTCTCTCTCTAGTTTTCCTCACTCCGCGCAATTTATCCGCATATGCCATGGAGTTGAACTATAAAACTGCCTACGATGAATTGACCAAGGGATGAATTGATGTGGCCATGACTTGGTTTTCCAGGAATTCTAATGACGAGCTGCCTCTTTGGCAACATCTTGACCCTGGAAAGCCGCCTCCGACTGCAAAATGGCTGGATGTGCCTGGCCGACAAGATTTCATGACCTTCGCTGACTCACTCACGCGAGACAACCTGAATTTTCCACTCTTCAGGTGCATATGCATTCCAAGTATGCACCCACTCAACTTCTCACATCAATTTCTCTGTTCTCTCCATCTCTCCAACTCTCCAACTGACTCTCTCTCTCTCTCCTCCTCTGACCTGCCTTACGCCGATACCAAGTCAACCTCACTGGCCGCTGCTGCAAGAGCTCCATCACTTCGGCCTCTTAACACAACAAGCGGCATGAAAATGCGTGATGCCTCTCTCTTTGACTTGCGGATCACCTTAAGAATAACTATGGTGGACAACTCGTGCTTGGCAGGCTTGATTTGCCTTTTCCCGACATCTTTGTGTGGGGCCCTTACTGACTTTTGCTGTGCATCCTGCCTTCCTCAGGCCAACTCAACTCACACCAACTTACCTCTCACAAACGCATGCAACTCACCAACTCAACTCATACCAGCTCATCTCAAGCCAACTCAACTCACTTTACGTACCACTTAGACTCCCTCGCTCACACTCCCTCACTCATTCCCCTGCGCTTTGCCACTCTCCAGGTTTTTCGGACTTCTATCAGGGGATTGCGAGCCATTGCGAGCTGACCACAGCAGACAGACCACAGCTGACCACAGCACATCAGCAGAACCTCCTACCCGCAAAAAACGTGTTGCTTCTCTCCACTCCTAAGGAATGGGAGGTTCTGTCGGGTGGTCGGCTGGCATCCTCCCCTTGCGTTTCACTCACTCACTCACTCACTCACTCCCTCACTCACTCACTCACTCACTCCGTCGCTCCCTCACTCCGTCGCTCCCTCACTCACTCACTCACTCACTCACTCCCTCACTCCCTCACTCACCCACCCACTCATGACAATATATCTTCACCCTCTTTTCGCATCTCCTCGCATCATCCGCTTTCATTCCTCTTCCTTCCGCTTTTGCCTCGACTTGTGATAAACACCACAATAGTATCCTGTCCTATTTGGGAAATCGTCTAGATAGTAAAATGCGTTAAAATGCTATAGAATTTTGTCAGGCTGACATCCTTCTGTGATGTTGACGGCTGGAATTTCATGGCATTTTCACATCAAGAAATGCCAACATGACATGAAAGGTTCGCAGGCCAGTCCTCCGGAAGCACTTCGATCGGATGCCCCTCAATATCTTAGTTCGTCAGGAAATGGCTGCAAGATGCAAATTACAACTGAAGCGATGTCCAGAATGAGATTGCTTGGCCGAGGCGCAATGGAGCTCGTCCCCTGGCTGCACACCTTGCTGTTCAGCCCAGGTGTTTTCACGCACCCGCAGCACCTTGCAGTGAGAGGTGCTAGATTGAGAGGTCTGCTCTCTCCACATCTTCAAAGCAAAGGAGGCACGTGTGTGAAGCTCTGATCGAGGGTGGTGAGGGAACCCAGATTGGCACGGCATCTCACAAACGACCTAATGCCTAGCAAAAATTCATCAATCTGCAGAAAGGCCCTCAGTCAGAGGGGCACACCAAACCACTTTGGCAAAGAGGGGTTGACACGCACTTCCTGACCATGATGCAAGAGTGCACCTGCCAGCCACGGCCAAGTTCACGACTTTCACGCGGCCTGAACCTTCGATCTTCCAATTGGATCAACCAGGCTGAAACATGGAAACTTTGCTTTGGGTAGGTTTGCCAATTTGTTACTGCAAAGAGCTTGAAAGACAGTCTTTGCTCTTCTTTAAGTCCAATGGCTCTTGTTATTTTTTGCATCCCAAGCTCAATTCATACCGTTGCAAAGCAAAGTTTACTTACTGTACCAGTGGAACTTACGATACACTCCTAAAAGCAAACTAGGCCCACAGCATGGCACCAACCTTGGATTACGTAGCTGATATTGTCAGCCATCATAGTCATGTTCAAAATCACAACCAAGATTTTGACAGGCAAGTCATTGTTCTCAATGAGGAGGTGAAACTCCTTCGGAAACCACACCCGCACCATCCGATGCTATCCGATGCTCACATTAAATGTTGCGACTGCGTCTTTGTTGTCCTCAACGCTCTCGGTAGGATGCCCGCTTTGTGCAGCCACAGCTTTCCTTGGCTGAGGGCCAGCATGTCTGTTCCATTGGCACACCTCTACTTCATCGCAACACCAGGCTATGTGAAGCACAAGGGCAAGGCAAGTGAAAAGGTATCCAATCAAATGTGACCTAGCTTCTGAGCCTCAGTGGTGCAGCAGATGGCATGTGCCAAGCGAGCGCGTAACTCCATGTTTTCCGTGCGCACTTTGTTGGCATCCTGTGCGCAAGAAGACCCGCTTGGTGAGGCAAGATGCCTGAAATTTCCTCAAGCACTCTCAAGCCAACTCCCATGTCAAAACAAGAGCCTCCACATTGGAAGATGCCCGTAGCTGTTCAATCTCCTGCATTGCCAGCACCAGCTGGTCCTGCAAGGCCTTAGAAGCGCGAGTGAGAAAAGTTTGCTAGCTAAACATAGCGCGCACACAAACCCCTGGTAGGAGCTTCTTTCTTCAAGTTCAATTGTAACAACGAGCCTGTAAAGCAGCCATATTTATATATTAGTATCATAAACAATAACAATATAACAATCATCATATGTGTTATGTGAGTGTAATATCATGACGTCAGAATACTGTGGCGCGGTGGCTCCTGACTGTGTGAAAACTAAGAGCACTGCCGCCGTCTCCGGGGCAGACTCAGCTTGTGCCTTACTGTGACGGCCCATGCAGCTCGACTATCGAAACATTGCTTATCAAGTCGGATCAAGTAGGAACACATAGGCTAGTGTATCTGTTGATTGGCTATTTGTAGGCCCTAGTTGGCCTTTAGCTATCTTGGCTTCCTCCGAACAAAAACTCTACTCAACTCACCTCTACGCAACATCATCTTTAGGATCTTCCAAAATTGCCAGCAACCCGGCCTGTGCAGGAGACCCGCTCTGCTCTGGTTGCCCAACCTATCAGAAACTTGCCCAGCAAAAGATCACAAGTTCTTCAAGCATCTCGTCCCATTCCGTGCAAATGAAAATGAGATGCCTTCGGTTGATGCCTTGGGCTTGAAAGCTATTGCACACACCGCATCTATGTCTAACCGTCTAACCTACAACTAAAACTATCACACACTGTGGAAGAACACCTCTCAGCGCATACGAAACATACTGGCAAAGAACAAAACGCGCATAGTCACTTAGTCAAGTCATATTGAATGAATTTATTGTTAAATGACTGCACACTGCACATTGCAAATAATTTCGAATTAATTCTGTGCCACTTTCTGTGCCTTCCCTGGAGCACTTTCCGGCGCACTGTGCCTCAAAAGGAAATCTGCATTGTCTGCTCTAACCCATCATTCTGCTTCTGCATGCGTGTTACCGTGCCCGATCTGCCAACAAGGTTCTCCAAACGCTCTTTCAGCAAGCCGTTCTCTCTTTGGAGCTCCTGATGTCAAATGAACCTAATCAAGAGTCTTGAAGGTGTCGTTGGACTAAAAGGGGAAGCTGATTGGGTGAGTAACGAGGTGGGACCAAGCTGGCGTCAGAATAAGGCTACTACAGTAAATATAGAAACCATTATTCTATAGAAACACAAAGTCCTCCACACGGGCAAACTGCTCTTCCAGAACCTCCACAGAAAAGGACGGCAATGCCACGCATTGGAACCAACAGCCAACCACACAGTTGAAATCAAGAGAACACCTCCTATTCTTCTTCCCAACATGCTGAAGCCTTGTTCTTCTCGTCCATGGCCATCTCAAAGTTCTCAAAGTGTGGCTCTTTCCTTAAGAAAGGAAGCAGAACTGCACACGCTGCAGGAATTGACAACATTCAGGGCACATTGCATTGAATAGTTTACGACATACTAGGATCCGAACGTATTTTCTCAAATTAAACATTTCACCAACCCCACAATGTTGGCCAAGGCTCTCCAATGCATCACGGAGTGCCGCAATCTTGGCCTTCAGGCAAACACTCTGAGAGGCAAACTCAACTTTTAGGATGTCTTCTCAATTTCGTACTGCACATGCCATAGTCCCTTTGCGGAAGAAGATTTGGTGATAACCACAAGTTGTTTGCACAGGCTGGGTCCTTGAGCTCCTCGATCTCTTCATCTTTCTCTGCGATCTGCTGGGCCAAGTCCTGGAAGTTTCTTGTCACGTCTTACCAAGAAACAAGAAGCTAGTAGTAACAAGTGCCTTACTAGTAGTAACAAGTGCCTTACTAGTAGTAACAAGAAGCTATTAGTTAACTTATATAGTTTATATATTTTTCTGTGTTCCCTCTTCATCCTCTTCTCTGATCTTCGCTCCCTCCAACACCTCACCCGTCGTGGTCCTCGCTGGCATGCCCCGGTGACCTTTTAGAGGCACGCTGCACCGGCACTCTCACACTGGTGAGTTCTGTGCAGATTCTCAGGTCCAGGCCCAGAGCCGAACAGAAACATTCCTCTCTCGTCTCCAACCTGACGTGTGCAAAGAAACATGGGCCGGCATGGCCTACTCAGAGAAAATCCCCCAAATTAAACGTGAAGTTCTCTACCATAAAAATTTACCAGCTCCCTCATGCCATGTCCGCGCCGTGAGCTTGAAATATATAGATTCTAGCAAACCGCAGCCCCTAGCGCTGAACAGAAAGACTCCTGCTTCAAATCCATGCCAGGCGAACACCGGAAATCGGGTCAAATCCCAACTCGTGTGAATGCTAGGAGCCGAACATCTGCAGGGGATAGAAAGTACAGACAAGGAACATAGGTTTTGTATGCCTTGACACGATAGGCTCTTAAACGGTATCGGTATCTACAGTAATGCTCAATCTTGTGACAACATGCCACCCTTTTGAGGGGAAACATCCTTCAAGCAAATCGAGATAAATCCAGCATTGCTATTAAAGAGCGGCAGGAATGCTTGCGGCCATCACAGGTGTCAAGACTACAACTCGAGGTGCACTGCACTTGACAGTTCAAGCCAATTCGAATGGTGGAGGGGGCGGGAGCCTGCTTCACAAAGGCACTGTTGGGGGATGGTCATGCCAACCCTGGGGCTTCTGAGTCACAATGCTCGATGATGCCCTTCGCAATCATTTCATGCAGAGTCCTGGATTTGTCCGGAGCGGATGCACCCAACAACCACAAACAGCCGGCAAAAAACTTGTGCACACGTTTAGCACCGTTCTTGATACCGTTGCCCTTCAACAAATGCCGCTGCGCAGGTTGGCAGTCCGGAAGTCGGCACCCTTTGCCTTGGAAGGCATGCGCTTGAAGGGCTTCGCAAAGGAAAATAACAAAATAAGAGTTCACTAATTACTTGCAGTTGTCTTGCAACCATTCTTGGATGGTTAAATAGGCATCTATGCACTTCGCAACTTATGGCGGTGCTCTGGCAAAAATTCAACTAAGTTACTTTACTTCGAAATTCCCCACCCTCAAAGAATTGGTCTTCACAAGAGAAAAGCGGTTCGGCGCGAAAAGGATTCTTTATTGAAAACAAAACCACACATCGAATACTTACTTGTGAGGTTTCTGAACTTCGATATTTTAATGCCTGGCAACCCCACATCCCTGCCAAGTCAACTTGTGGTGGATATGCTGTGGAACTGGTACTTGGGAGCACTCTGGTGAATGTGCTGGTGTAAAGGCTACGCTGGGCTTCTCGGGGCCACTCTGGTGGATGTGCTGTGTAAGGGCTACTCTGGGCCACTGTGGGCCACTCTGGTGGATCTGCTGTGTTCTTTGGGTTGCTCTGAGCTACGCTGGGACCACTCTGGTGGATGTGCAGAAGTAGCGAGCCTATTGAAGTCCAAAGTTCTTAAAATCTAACAGCCCCACAGTCCTACGGGTGGGGAAAAAACTGCTTTGATAAGTACATTACAAGTCTACAACTATCCTGCGATCTCTTTGGTAAATGTGCTGTGGAGAAGCTAAGTTGCGCTACAAAAAACTGTGGTTGCTGTGGACAAGCTAAGTTGAACTACTTATATAGAAATCAGTTTGTGAATGTGCTGTGGAAGAGCTAGGCAGCTAGGTTTAGCTACTCAGGGATCAGTTTGGTGAATGTGGTGTGAATACTCAGAGGTCATTTTGGTGAATGTGCTGTGGAAGTGCTGCGTTGAATTACTCAGGGATTACTTTGGTGAACAGGGATCAGTTTGGCGAGCGTGCTGTGAAAGAGCCACTTTGGGCTACTCAGAGATCACCTTGGTGAACGTGCTGTGGAAAAGCTAGCTTGAATACTCAGGGATCAATTTGGGGAACGTGCTGTGGAAGAGCTACTTTGGGCTACTCCGGGATCTCTTTGGTGAACATGCTGTGAAAAAGCTACTTTGGGCTTCTCAAGGATTACTTTGGTCAACGTGCTGTGGAAGATCTAAGTTGGGCTATTCAGGGATTACTTTGGCGAGTGTGGTGTGGAAGAGCTAAGTTGGGCTAGTCAGGGATTCCTTTGGTGAACGTGCTGTGGAAAAGCTACTTTGGGCTTCTCAAGGATTACTTTGGTCAACGTGCTGTGGAAGATCTAAGTGGGGCTACTCGCGGACTACTTTGGTGAGTGTGCTGTGGAAGGGCTAAGCTACTCAGCGACCACTTTGGTGAGTGTGCTGTGGAAAAGCTAAGTCCACTTCGTGAGTGTGCTATAGAAGAGCTAAGTTGGGCGACCGGGCGTACTGAAATCCGAAGTTCTAAAAACCTAACAACCGACAGGCCTACGGGTGAGAAAAACGCAGCTTTTGTTGGCTTGATAAGTACATTGCAACTCTACAACTACCTTGGAATCACTTTGGTAAATGTGCTGTGGAGAAGCTAAGTTGCGCTACTAAGAACTGTGGTTGCTGTGGAAGAGCTAAGATGAGCTACTTACAAATCAGTTTGTGAATTTGCTGTGGAAAAGCTAGGTTTAGCTACTCAGGGATCAGATTGGTGAATGTGGTGTCAATACTTAGAGGTCATTTTGGTGCATGTGCTGTGGAAGGGCTACGTTGAACTACTCAGGGATTACTTTGGTGAACAAGGATCACTTTGGCGAGCGTGCTGTGGAAGAGTTAAGTTGAACTAGTCAGAGATTACTTTTGTGAGTGTGCTGTCAAAGAGCTACGTTGAACTACTCAGGGATTACTTTGGTGAACAGGGACCACTTTGGTGAGTGTGCTGTGGAAGAGCTACTTTCTGGGCTACTCAGGGACCACTTTGGCCAGTATGCTGTGGAAGAGCTAAGTTGCGCTACTCAGGGGCCACTTTGGCCAG